TATTGATACAACCCGACAGTAAAAGACTTACCTGTACAGTTTATTGATACAACCCGACAGTAAAAGACTTACCTGTACAGTTTATTGATACAACCCGACAGTAAAAGACTTACCTGTACAGTTTATTAATACGTCCCCACCTAAAAACTCTTACCAGTGTAGTTTATTAATACGCTCCGACAGTAAAAGACTTACCTGTACAGTTTATTGATACGCCCCGACAGTAAAAGACTTACCAGTATAGTTTATTGATACGCCCCGACAGTAAAAGACTTACCTGTACAGTTTATTAATACGTCCCAACAGTAAAAGACTTACCTGTACAGTTTATTGATACGCCCCGACAGTAAAAGACTCACCTGTATAGTGTACTAATACACTCACCTGTACAGTGTACAAACACACTCACCTGTACAGTGTCCAAACACACTCACCTGTACAGTGTCCAAACACACAGGATTATAAACTCACCTCAGATTTGCCTTTAGCCACACACCTAGCCACATTCAACGGTTCTATGGTCAGGGAATTCTAAATAAAAGAAATACATTATTGGCTAAGTGGAAATTCAATAAAACGTGAAAGTTTCTTCCCTGCTAGATCAAATATTACAAAACTGGTTGATTAAGTAATATAAAGTAGATCAAATACGTCAATACATCAAGTTTTATATTTTTAGTTATTTGGTGAACATTTCTATTGATATATTTAAATTTTTAGAACTGGTGCTAAGTCCTAAGTTCCAGACAATGACCTCTTATTCACCACAACAACCAGGATTATTGGTGTATCTTTATACACATTAAGCTCAGCCTTTACTGTGAAATACAGATCAGTTAGAAGAACTGACTACACCACCAGAAGAACCAGGTAAAGTAGTTCACTGGTGTATCTTTATACACATGAAGCTAAGCCTTTACTGTGAAATACAGATCAGTTAGAAGAACTGACTAACCACCAGAAGAACCAGGTAAAGTAGTTCACTGGTGTATCTTTATACACATTAAGCTAAGCCTTTACTGTGAAATACAGATCAGTTGAAAGAACTGACTACACCACCAGAAGAACCAGGTAAACTAGTTCACTGGTGTATCTTTATAACCTGAGCTAAGCCTTTACTGTGAAATACAGATCAGTTAGAAAAACTGACTGCACCACCAGAAGAACAAGGAAAAGTAGTTCACTGGTGTATCTTTATATACATGAAGTTAAGCCTTTACTGTGAAATACAGATCAGTTGGAAGAACTGACTGCACCACCAGAAGAACCAGGTAAAGTAGTTCACTGGTGTATCTTTATAACCTGAGCTAAGCCTTTACTGTGAAATACAGATCAGTTGGAAGAACTGACTGCACCACCAGAAGAACCAGGTAAAGTAGTTCACTGGCGTATCTTTATACACATGAAGCTAAGCCTTTACTGTGAAATACAGATCAGTTAGAAGAACTGACTACACCACCAGAAGAACCAGGTAAAGTAGTTCACTGGTGTATCTTTATAAACATGAAGCTAACCTTTCAAAACCTTCCCCATGGACTTTGATCAGTTAGAAGAACTAACTACACTCAAAGAAACTACAGAATAGGTTACAAAATCAGTAAGTTTTATGTTTTCTTTTTTACTTCAAGAAGATGACATTTCGAAGTATATCCCTTCGTCAGATCGTACAGATTAAAACAAAAGCTGATGATGATGATGTGCTCTTATAATCTTTGCTGAAAACCTATGGATCAGTCAGAGGTAAATGTGTTTAAAGAATTTCAAAGATAGGTTACAAAATCGATAAGTTTTATATATTTTTTCATTTCGTGAAGATAACGTTTCGAGCTAGCGCTTTCAGTCAGATCGTAAAGTTTAGAACAAAAGCGAATGTGCAGAATTTGTAAATTACGTGCGCAGAATTTTAAACGTTGATATATTTTTCTAAAAACATTACATATTTTACGCGACTCATAAAGAATGAAAGGAAAACAAGAAAAAGATAAAACAACACAGATTAAAAGTAAAATTAAAACAAGTTATGGAAAAAGTTCATTTAAACTAAATGGTTGTAGTTACAAGATTATAGAGTACTTTTTCTAGTTGATCTCTTTTGCGAATATCTATTAACTTGTTTATGTTTGTTTTCTTGTAGATATCTGCTGTGTCCACCGAGGGGAATCGAACCCCTAATTTCAGCATTGTAAATCCGTAGACTTACCACTGTCCCACCGTGGGAACGAATATTTAATGAAGCCCCAGAATCAAAAAAGTCCTCAATTGTAAGTTTGTTGTTGATCTTGAGGTGTATCTTAGTTGTGCAGTTCACTATGGTGTTGATGTTGACGTGCTCGATTACCCAGTTGGCGGCCTATTTCTCCAACGTATAAATTATCGCATTTTTGTTTTTAATTACACGATAAACGATACATTCAGTGGTGCATGTAAAGGACTGTGTTATGTTAAAAGTCGTGTTCTTCCCTTGTGTGATGCTGTTCAATTTTAATTTTAAACTGTATTTTCTTATCCGTTTTATTATTTTCATTTTATGACGTATTTATTTAAAAAAATTAATTTTTCAGAGAAATTTTATAATCAAATTTGACACATGCGCTTCTGTTCAAAACTTTACGATCTGACGAAATTAAAAAATATATAAAGCTTTCGATTTTGTAACCTATTATTTAATTAATCTCTGTATCTTTGTCGTGTTAGAAGTTACCTATCTTTACTTAATTCTATAGATTAAGTTAAAGAACTGAGTTCATAGCCTACACCATACAAACTAAAACAACAAATCCCAGGTTTCTTTGTCTGTTCTGGCTGCTTTTGATCATCTACATACAACCCCCCCCCCCCTCTTTTTCACAATTATTGTATCGTAACAATTCAACGTGTTCTGTCTGTGGCGGATCCGTATATATTAACATGTACACCATAAGAAGTCCTTGTTTTGGAATAAGTTAATATATACCCACTAGTCTTAAGATACCAAAACGACAAACTGGCGAAGACGTCTGAAACTAGTTCGCGTTGAACAGGTATGAATGTAATACTGTAGTGAGATATCTCTAGACGTATATATATATATATATCGCAATTACAAACATGAGATATCTCTAGATGCATATGTCGCAATTACAACCATGAGATATCTCTAGACGTATATATATATATCGCAATTACAAACATGAGATATCTCTAGATGCATATATCGTAATTACAACCATATACATATGATTGTATATGGATCACCTGTAACAGCGTTTTCAGTATTTTCTTGATATTTGGAATTTTCACCCTAAACTGGACCCCCCCAGGGTTCATATATAGTCATTCTAAATTTAGAACTATTGTCCCGAGGGAAAGCTGACAGTCAGAAGCACCTACAGCCACAAAGGCTAAATCCAGTTTTGAACCGAATAACTAAAAGTGCAAAGTGTATTCAGCGACATTGCGACACGAATACTGGACCTTTCAGTACGCATGCCGATACGTTAGCTACTAACCCAGCCCTATAGTATCTTGAAGAAATGTAGTTGACACAGCTCTTATCGTATTTAAAGTTTTATACTGACGAAAATAATATATTACAGACTTTCACGAGATTTTAAGAAAGCGTTTTTAAAATATTTTATATAAAATAACATTTAAGAAACTGGCACTACTGATAAACAAACAAACAAAAAACCTAGCACTATTGATAAACAAAAAAGACAAGTCTGTAATAAAACCACTCTGTTCTCGTTTTACAATTTGGGTGATAAAGAAAAATGAATCAGACGAGATATATAAAATCAAAAACCAAAACCTCAATTTTATTGATTAAGTTTCGAGACAAGTATATTTCCAACAGCTCAAATAGCTAAGCCTTGCATGAGTAAGGGTGGTAATGTCTAATTTCAACAGCTCAAATAGCTAAGCCTTTCATGAGTAAGGGTGGTAATGTCTAATTTCAACAGCTCAAATAGCTAACTAAGCCTTGCATGAGTAAGGGTGGTAATGTCTAATTTCAACAGCTCAAATAGCTAAGACTTGCATGAGTAAGGGTGGTAATGTCTAATTTCAACAACTCAAATAGTTAAGACTTGCATGAGTAAGGGTGGTAATGTCTAATGCAGTGATTTATTTGATACTAAAGGGGAAAAAAACAACAAGTTATTTCATACATCCATTATTCCAAGAAATATTTTCTCTTTATCTAAAAAACAAAAGATTTAACACTAATCAGGCTTAAGTAAACAGAAATTCACGAATCTGACATGACAGCTTAAGTATAAAATATCTAAGTCTTTAAAAGTTTGAAATTATATATTCCCCTAATTCCTCTAAAGGGGTCTAGGTGAAATATCAAATTTCATTATATCAGTACCCGGTCTTAAGCCTCCATATACTAAGTGTTAGATGATAAAAATATACACGCTTTCACTTAATAAAAACCTTAAATGTCGTTAGTTTTTTTGTTGTTTTTTCCCCCTGTTTTATACATCTTACGTAAACGTTTGTTTTAAAGTACGCCGGAGAAATGTGAACACCCTTGAGGCTTCAAAAATGCGCACGTACGTTGCAAAGTAAGAAACTCGACTCTTGAAAGTTGAAAAAAAACAAAAAAAGCTCTTCCTCTTGCATTTCTCTTTACAGATGTGCACTGGAGAAAGGTGCTCCGATTTCTTCTTCCTTTTGCTCGTTACGACCTGAAAACGTTTGTTTTTAACCTTTTGTTCTGTAAAGGGGATATGACTTGAGAAGTGACAAACGAGGCCTTAAAAATGTACTATCCACGTTCATCGTTCCAAGTCTTTCCCAATAACTGATATTTCTTAGCCATCCTGTCCCGCTCTCTGTCAGATTACTTTTTTATTTCAAACATTCTAATGTTAATACATAAAATATACACCGAAAGAAAATAACTGAGAAGATGTAAAATTCGGGACAACAAATACCATGGTTCATTCTAAAGAGATTGAATATCAATCGTTGTCATGGCTAGTAGCCAAAACGACCACGTCAGTTTAATTACTAATTAGTAAGTTCATGATTATTATCATTAATTAGCTACTAGTTTATTCTATGTTGCGGCTGCTAATTTGAAGCCGTCTTCAGGTGAGTCCAGTGAAGGACTTTTTTTTTTTTGCATTGGTATTCTTGATGGAAGTCTCGCGTTATCCACTCCACATCAGAAGGCAGGATAAAAACTAGTTAATAATTAGTATCCGATTAACAATAAGAAAGTTATCAATTAATACTTAGACTATCGTGTATATAAATATATATATATATATGTATATTATCTTAACCATGACAACGAATGAATAGATTCTTTCACACGAAGACACACAGGACAACCACCAGCATAAAGTTGCGAAGGAACTATATGTATCAGAACTACATTTTGATATTGTAATACGATGCTACCGCAAACTGATTGTCTTGGGGATTTTTTTTTTTCGTCGGAGCCTTTAATAATTTAAACTATAATGCAGGGCTATTATCAAGACGACAGCATGATCAGATGTGGCGACAGGAATTGTAACGACGTGATGAGGCTCCAAAATAATTTTAAT